GAGTGGAGAGTAAAATAATTGCTTTAACGATTAATATAAAAGTAAGGGGAGGTGACAGTAGAAACTTAAATTTAAATTCAATCTTAATTGAATAATGCAAAACCAAAGAAGACCTTGATAATTAAACTCCGTTATATTCCTACAAATCTATTTCATAAATTAAATACCCTGTAGTAGGGATATGGGTATGCAAATATGCAATCCATTGTGTATAGTACTTATTGAGAATTACTCAAGATGAAGTTAAAAACTTAAGAACCTGGCTTTCGCTTGTGGGGTGCTAATATCTACACTTGAAAATGCATGAGAGATTTGTATGTCGAAAGCGATAGTCACTTCTCTACAGGAGCCAAGCAATGAAATTAGTCAACCCTTCAATGGATGAGAATATTAGTGATGTTAACCTGTGTCAATGTCGATGGATGAATGCAGTACAACAAAAATACACTTATCAAATGTATTTTAACATGTCATTCAACTCATCAAGCAACTAAATGGAAAAATATGAGTACTTCCTGATGTCAAATGGTTTGTAAAACAACTCAAAGAAATGCACATGCTAACCAAAACCAGATCATTGAACTGTTAAATTATAAGCCAAATCATCAACAAATTAGTTTGATTGTTAGTTAACCGTTAAGTTGGATGGCAGTTATGGGTTTCCCGCCAAAACAGCTTCTGAACAGTGGTGTTCCCTCCAACAGTTGCAACGTTTATGTGTTTTAGTATTTAAGTGTTTTGTATCTCTGTTTTTCTTTTGTGTGAACAGTTTTCTAAGATTCAAAGTGTCTTTGTAATATTCTAAGTGTTCTTCAATAAAGAACCTGTTTGTGTTGTGTATATGTTATTTCCATCAAATGGTATCAGAGCCAAAACATAATATGGCATCGAGTTCTCTGAATGTTCTACAATCTCAGACTCAATTGCCTAAGTTAAATGGGAGGAACTACTTTCATTGGAGTATCCAGATGAAAGTTATGTCCGAATCTCAAGACTTATGGCAGATTATTGAAGAAGGACTGATAATTCCCAAGAATCCTACTGCTTTAATCGCACCACAGATGAGTGCACTGAACGAAGCAAAGAAAAAGGACAAGGCGGCTTTGTTTCTGATTTACCAAGTAGTAGATGAACATATATTTGAAAGGATCTCTCTATCACAGACGACCAAGGAAGCCTGGGAATTGCTGTTCAAATCATACAGAGGGGAAGAGAAAGTAAAAACAGTTAGACTTCAAACCTTAAGATGCGAATTTGATAGCCTTAAGATGAAGGAGACAAAGACAGTTGAGGAATATTACACGAAAGTAATTGTGTTGGTAAATCAGATGAGACTAAATGGTGAGAGTATTAATGATAGATGAATTGTAGAGAAAATACTTCGTAGCCTTACACGCAAGTTTGAATATGTGGTGGTTGCCATAGAAGAATCAAAGGAATTGGAAGACTTCTCTCTGGAAACATTATTAGGGACCCTGCAATCCCATGAATTACGCATGAAACAGTTCGACACTATAGTGATGGAACATGCTTTTCAAGCACAGTCTTCGTGAGAAGCAGGCACAAGTGACAGACAAAAGACAGTGGATGCACATAGAGAAGATCAGAATTACACAGTCTCCAAAGGCAAAGGAAAAGGTAGACCATTCTCTCAAATTAAATGTTACTACTGTGATAAATTAGGACACACAATTAAAGTTTGTAGAAAAAGGTTGGCAGAAGAAAATAGAGCATCAAACTTTATGCACAAAGAAGACAGTCATACTGATGACACAATGTTTATGATACTTAATATGCAAGAACCCACTCTTAGTGAACTTAGGTATTTAGACAGTGGTTGTAGCAACCACATGACAGGAAACAAAGAATTGTTTCTTACTTTAGAAGAGTCAGAAAAGAAGGATGCAAGGACTGGAGATGATAAAAAAATTAAGTGTACAGGGAAATGGAGACATTGCCATCAAAATTAAGGATAAGGATAAAAAAATTTCAAACGTGTTTTATGTTCCCGGCCTTAAACATAATTTGTTGAGTGTTGGGCAACTTATTCAAAAGGGGTATGGTTTACACTTTAAGGATGGATTATGTGAGATAACTGACTCTAACAAATCAGTTATTGGAAGGGTAGTTATGACCACTAATAAAATGTTTCCAATAAAATTTGATGATGAAACTTTTTTCTCCTTATCTGTTAGTACGAAAGAAGCTTCACTCCTTTGGCATAAAAGGTTTGGACATGTAAACCTCAACACCTTGACTCATACGTACAAAAATGAACTTGTAAAAGGTTTACCTTTAGTTGGYCCTTYGTCTCATGTCTGTGAAAGYTGTGCACTGGGTAAGCAGTCTAGAGCATCATTTCCTCATAACAACACATGGACAGCAACAAAACAGTTGGAACTTGTCCATACGGATATATGTGGTCCCATGAAAACCCCATCCTTTGGAGGAAGTAAGTATTTTTTAACCTTCATTGATGACTTTAGTAGAAGAATCTGGATATATTTCGTGAAAGAAAAGTCAGAAGCATTTGCATGCTTTCTTACCTTCAAGGCAATGGTTGAAAATCAGAGTGACTTCAAAATAAAAAATTTAAGGTCTGACAGGGGAGGTGAATATATTGGTCACGATTTTGAGGATTATCTAAGGAGTAATGGCATACACCATCAACTTACAACTGCCTACACACCCCAGCAGAATGGGGTGGCAGAAAGAAAAAATAGAACCATAGTTGAGATGGCAAGGTGCATGTTAAAAGGCAAACAACTACCTAATATCTTTTGGGCAGAAGCAGTATCCTGTGCTGTTTATTTAATTAATAGATCCTACACAAAAAGCCTTACTGATAAGACCCCACAGGAAGCTTGGAATGGTTTCAAGCCTAGTGTCAACCACTTTAGAATCTTTGGTAGTATTGCCTATGCACACATACCAAAACAAAAAAGGAGTAAGCTTGATGACAAATCTGAAAAAGCAATCTTTGTAGGGTATAGCTATAATACCAAGGCCTACAAATTGTACAACCCTTTGACCAAGAAAGTAATCACAAGCAGAGATGTGATCTTTGATGAAGAAAGTACTTGGAAAGGTTTGACATGTGAGAATGATRGGAGTTGTASTCTAGTTGATGAGTCATATGAGGATGACAAAAATACCCCTACTGAGCATAATGAACCCGAATGTATTGAACCTGCTACACCTATGAGAGATTCCTTTCTCAATTCAGAAAATACAACTCCTGGAAGCACCTCCTCTTCAAATGGATCAAATAGAAAAACCAGAAGCTTGACTGATCTCTATGAAAGTACTCAACCAATCAACATAGATCTCTTAGCTAATTTTGCTTTGTTYTCTRATGCAGACCCTTTAAAGTTTGAAGATGCTTACAAAGATCAAAAGTGGAGAGATGCGATGGACAGTGAGATGAATTCCATACTCAAAAATAATACATGGGAGATAGTTGAATTACCAAAAGGACAAAAGTCAATTGGAGTAAGATGGATCTACAAAACCAAATACAATGAGAAGGGTGAAATAGATAAACACAAGGCAAGACTTGTGGTTAAAGGGTATAAACAACARTATGGCATCAACTATCAAGAAGTTTTTGCCCCTGTGATCAGATTAGAAACTATTCGGTTGATTCTGGCTATAGCTGCTCAATTCAATTGGCCTGTGTACCAAATGGACGTAAAATCAGCCTTCTTGAATGGATATCTGGAAGAGGATATTTTCATTGACCAACCTGATGGTTACAAACGCAAAGGAGAAGAGCATAAGGTGTGCCACTTAAAGAAAGCTCTTTATGGGCTTAAACAAGCCCCTAGAGCTTGGTATAGTAGAATAGAAAGACATTTCTTCGATCATGGATTCCAGAAATGTAATCATGAACATACTTTATTCATCAAAAAGGAAGGTTACTCTACACTTCTGGTATGTATTTATGTAGATGATATTGTGTTCACAGGGAGCTCCATAGAATTAGTTTCTGAGTTTAAAGAATCAATGAAAAAGAATTTTGAAATGACTGACTTGGGTCTGCTTCATTACTTCTTGGGAATAGAGGCCTCACAAGGTAAGCATTTCATCTCGATATCACAAAAGAAATATGCTAAGGATCTCTTAGTAAGGTTTAACATGGATGATTGTCTGTCTGCTGCCACTCCTATGGAACCAAGATTAAAACTTTCTGCTGGAAGCGGTGAAAGATCGATTGATTCAACATTATATCGAAGTCTTGTTGGCTGTCTTATGTATCTTACTGCAACAAGACCCGATATAATGTATGYTGTCAGTATGCTTAGTAGGTACATGGAGGATCCAAAATCAGGACACTGGGAAGCCGCAAAGAGGGTACTGAGATACATAAAAGGTACGCTTGATCATGGAATCACTTACTCTTGTTCCTCCTCTTTCAAGTTAATTGGTTATAGTGATAGTGACTTTGGAGGGTGCTTTGAAGATAGTAGAAGTACAACAGGATATATATTCTGTTTGGGTACAGGGGCAATCTCATGGCACCCTCCAAAGTCACTATCACTTGTTGAGAATCCTCGTATATTAGGATTCTCATGTAAATCTATAATAGATTCCATATATTCACATATGAACCATATACATGTAAACCACAAGGGTGGTGTCTGATTGTTTTGAGCTTGGCTCCAAAGATCAAAGTACCAGGAGGTGTTCAAATCCAATGAGGAATAAAAATCCTCTTATGGCCACAGAGGTTCAAATATGGTGACTCCGGACTATCTGCAAAGCAAGTGGTCGTCCGGGGATTGATCGGCTCGCATAGCGGGTTGGACATCCAGGTTAATCAAACAAAAAACCATATACATATAATTATCATTGTTGGATAATGATTTACAACCAAACAAAATTAATAAGTTCAATAATTGAAAGATTAATTTTATTCCTAAATAAGTCTAAAAGTAGGCAACAAATTCAATAACACAAAATTAAAAACTTAACCTAAAGCGTGAGAGGTCGGGGTTGTTATGTTAGAGTTTAAATCACTAGCATCCAATATAGTCATCAACGATTGTATCATCTTTCTTTGCTCGACGGCTTGATTTTTTGCCTCATTTTGTCCCTCTTTTAGCAAACGAATTTCTTCGTCGCGCTCGGCAAGTTGTTGATGCAAATCTTCCTCGTCAACTGAAGAAACCGGCTTAGAGAATCCTTTCGCCGGTCCTCTCATCCTCGCAGGTCGAACCGCCAAGCTACCCATACCTCGAACAGACGTTCCTACCGATGGACCAACAATTGAAGGCCCGACAGATTCTTGAGTGCCATCAGAAGCGTTCTTAATCTTCTCAATCTCTTCCTCAACAAGTTTTTGCAAATACGATTCAAACAGTTGTTTTAATTACAATTATGTATTTCCCGTTAATCATCCCTCATTATATGAGTTAAAATTGTAAAAAAAAAAACTACATTAATGTGTTTTTATATTTTTAAAGGTTTGGATATGTTGGAACGAAAAAGGGATAAAAGAATAATTTTTAACAGTTTTGCAAGACTATGGTATTTCGAGCATATCTCACTCGTTTGAGCTCGGATTTAAATGATTAAAGATAATTTGGAAAGCTAACAAACGGTCCTACAACTTTTTAGTTTTGAGTTTCTGTAAATTTAGGCTGAATCTAAGCTAAAACGGACGTCAAAGGTGAAAAAGTGATGTTGGACAGTAAAGGAAAAAAAATATACAAATCATGATAGAACGAAAATAAAAGTTCAAGTTTACTTACTTTACGGTCTTCACTTGTAGTGGTCTCGGCAATTGTACCGCAAATTGAGTCCAAAAACGAAGAGCATAGACCCCGCAAATTGATCAATTCAACAAGCTTCTTTTGTACGGTTTGTACGAAAATGACATAACAAGGAAACAACCACAACCACCAAACGATGTATGATCTGTGTTTGTAAGGGAAAACATCTCACAAAATGTATCATCTTCTCAAAAATTGCACATGACTAGTCTTCCAAATAAATTTATCACCTACACTTTATGTTTAATATAGAGCAAAACCAACAGATATTTCTGTAGGAACCGAACCAAGTCCATCCATATTGGTTTTTTATTTTCTTAGTAAATTCGTTTTATGTGAATTGATTGTTCACCAGGTCCTTCCTCATATTCATGGTCTTCAAATCTTCTGCTTGATTTCTATTGATCTTTGTTTACCCCTTTATGCCCACCAGTACTGTATAGAAGGAGTTAAGATTCCGCTATTCTTTTTATGCATCACATTAATATTATATGTGGGTTGTCAAGTCGTGTGCACAACACGATAAGTCGAAAAACTAACCATAACAACGTGTTCGGATAGTTTGGTCGTGGTTCTTGCCAAACCTAATTAATCGTTTTCCTCAGCAAGTACTCTTACTCTTCCTCAGTTGGAAACTGCAAATATGATTGACTTCAACATGGCATTGCTTTCTAAGTGCATGCATGGCTTGGGAGGTTTTGAATAGGAAAAAAAACTGATTGTAAAGAAAGCATATAGAAGGTAGCTAAATATGGGGAATCAATCTAAGAAGCCTTCTGGTCCACATAAAAGGGATTATGAGTCTGTTTAGCGGCTTCTGGTCTAATTGTGGTATGATAACTGGACTGGCCTATATGTCAACTCTCTTTTAAATGTTTTTACCAAATGCAAAATATCATAGTAAAAATTATGTGGCTTACAATGTTTAACTGCTCTCTTTTGATCATATGGATCTATAGTTTATATTAATAAACTTGTTTTATATATGGTAAAATAAGAACACATTATAAAAACTAAAAAAAACACTTCCGACAATTTACAAAAATGAGTGAAATTGTGTTTAAAAAGAATTCGAATTATGATATAACAAACAGAAGAATACTTAAAGTGTAATATAAGAAATTAAAGACGAGATTCAAAGACAATCACAATTACTTCAAACAATATATAAAATAATCAAGCAATTTGGATAGAGTTTGCTGAACAACAAAAGTTGAACAGATGAGAAGTTGACTTGATCAATGGGTCCCTCTTCTCCATGACTCAATCTTCTATATAAATTCAAATCCATAAACATATATTCCCAATCCAACTCAAACACCTTCTTAGTTATTGATCGGCTTCATCAATCCAACACAATGTCAATGGCTAATTCCTATCTCATTTCCTTCCTACGACTCATACTAGTTTTGATCACTTTAGTGTCAATAAGTGGTGGGATGATCACTGCTGAGGCACGTAACCTTTTGGAGATACCTGAGGTTCCAAAGCCTGAACTTCCTGAGCTTCCGAAGCCCACACTTCCTGAACTTCCGAAGCCCACAATTCCTGAGATTCCAAAACCCACACTTCCTGAGATTCCAAAGCCCACACTTCCCGAGATTCCGAAACCCACTGTTCCTGAGATTCCGAAACCCACTGTTCCTGATATTCCAAAGCCCACACTTCCTGAGATTCCAAAACCCACAGTTCCAGAGATCCCCAAGCCCACAGTTCCAGAGATCCCCAAGCCCACACTTCCAGAGATTCCAAAACCCACTGTTCCTGAGATTCCAAAGCCCACAATTCATGAGATTCCAAAACCCACTGTTCCTGAGATTCCGAAACCCACTGTTCCTGAGATTCCGAAGCCCACACTTCCTKAGATTCCAAAACCCATAGTTCCAGAGATCCCCAAGCCCACAGTTCCAGAGATTCCAAAACCCACACTTCCTAAGATTCCAAAGCCCACACTTCCTGAGATTCTGAAGCCCACAATTCCTGAGATTCCAAAACCCACTGTTCCTGAGATTCCGAAACCCACACTTCCTGAGATTCCAAAACCCACTGTTCCAGAGATCCCCAAGCCCACAGTTCCAGAGATCCCCAAGCCCACACTTCCAGAGATTCCAAAACCCACTGTTCCAGAGATTCCGAAGCCCACACTTCCTGAGTTTCCAAAGCCAGAGTTGCCTACTTTGCCCAAACCAGAAGTACCAAAGGTGCCAGAAATCCATGACCTTCCTAAGCCCACCTTGCCCAAACCAGAAGTACCAGAGTTGCCCAAGGACTTCCCTAAACCTTCCCTACCCAATCCTTAGAGACCTACTTTTGTGAAAGCTTGTGATTTATTCACTACTACTAATGTTACTTCCAAGAGATTCATCATTTAGAGTGTTCCCTGAAGATTGAATGATTATTTATGCGTGGTTTGTTGTTCTGTCATATGACGAACAATTTATATATGTTGAATTTATGCAACTTGATTACATTATACTCTATTGATAGAGTATTGTTGAATTGATTTGACTTCATCTCCTTTTGGCAACTTAATGTGCATGATAACAAGAAATAAATCCATGACTAAAAGGTTTTACACTATAAAAATGAAAAGATCAAATAATATTCATATATCTGAATTGAACATTTCTAGTTTAAATGAATAAAATGACAAATCAAGGATGGTCAGTGTAGTAGTTGTAGACCATATACGTTCATGCTCAACCAATGCATCAGGTTTTTGAGTCTAGCAAAAACTTGATGGAACATTTGGCTTGTTGGTGTTTAGTTTGCTGATGATCGATCGTCCCAATTGAAGCAAAAGTTAGTGTTTGCTAAAGCTAGTTGAATAAAATATCAAAACATTTTCTCAAATTTAATTTAATACTTAAGACAGAAAATTCTTACATAAACACTTGATCATGTAATTCACATGCATTCTTTAGTCCTTTGAAAGTGCTTAATTAATTACAAAACAACCTTTGGGGTAGAAGATAAATTTTCCTAGATCTAACCCCCCCCCCCCCTCTCTCCAACAGTAAATATAAAACTAAATCGGGCAGATACATGAAATTTCATAAATTGAAGTCGTTAATAGAATAATACAAATCAAGTGTTTTTGTTGCTTGATGATGAGTCGTCAAAATCAAAGCCTAAGCTTGTTGTTTGATAAATTAAGTGCATAGGAAATGATAAGTTATTACTTAAGATTTAAAGTATTAAAACTTCAACTCGAAATGTGTACAGAAATACTTCATCGTTTGAATTTGCATTTGCTAATTTGTCCTTACAAAACCGAATGAGTGGAGAGTAAAATAATTGCTTTACAGATTAATATAAAAGTAAGGGGAGCTGACAGTAGAAACTTAAATCGAAATTCAATCTTAATTGAATAATGCAAAACCAAAGAAGACCTTGATAATTAAACTCCATTATATTCCTACAAAATCTATTTCAGAAATTAAATACCCATGTTGTAGGGATATGGGTATGCAAATGCCAAATATGCAATCCATTGTGTATAGTTAAAATGTCATCATCAAAAGAAAAGAAGAAGCGAAAACAGGTTTCTGGACTATTTCGTATCTTCGACGATAGCACTTAGGATGCGTTTGGTTTGGCAGAATGGAATGGATTTGGGAGGATTTGGATTTAAAATCCATTCAATTCCCATGTTTGGTTTGCTAAATGGGCTGGATTTAAAATCCCGTGTATTTTTTAAAATCCCGTAAACAAGGGATTTTGAAATCCATAGTAAATGGGCTGGATTTTGAAATCCAAATCCGGGCGACATCTCCTCTTCTACGCTAATCTTCATGCCCTAACCTTCTCGTCACTTTCCCCATGCTCTCGCCGGTCTCCGCCAACTCCCCACCTCTCGTCGCTTTCCCCATTGCGATCGCCGGTCTCCTCCAACTCCCCACTGCTCGCGCCGGTGTCTCCTCCAACTCCCCACTGCTCTCGCCGGTTCTCTCCTCTTCTCTGCTCTTCATCCCGCTTGAACCGGTGCTCATCCTCTTCGCCTCTTCGTCCTGCTTGAGCAGGTAAGACTTCCCTTTCCAATCTTCTCGTTATTACATTACAATCTTTATGATTCCAGAATGTCACAACCACCATTGTTGCTGCTGAGCCATTCATTGGTAAACATCGACCTTGCTGTTGCTAAAATTGGAAACCCTAGCCAATGAAACCTCAATTCCAAACCGTCACTATCACACCATTGCTACCGCCTATAAGCGGAATTGACATATCACGTATCTAGATTATGCGATAAATTATGATGATTTCAAACTATCTAGATTATGCGATAAATTATAACTCCCACTTGTAGAATGTCCTACTTGGTTAAAATAGATCTTGAATTTATTGGTTCTTCACATCATTACCTAAATTAATAAGCTAGATCTCATGCATTTGTCATCCAAAATCAGCAAATTATAAACCAAGGCAAGCTTAAGAAGCTGGCATGTAAGTACTTTCAGGTTTGTAAATTTTATACCAGACTCTTTGAAGCAAATACTATCTACCAGAATCCAGTACATAATATTTTTGAACCTTCTAAACACTATAAAAATACTTGAGATCCATTGTTGAATCTCCAGCAATACCTGAATTCTCAGCTTAGTTCTTCCAGACAAGGTTCAGCAACCCATCACAGCACAATTGTAAACAAAGTTATCAGCCCTTTTCCGGCCAATCATGGTCCACTGTRGCGGACCTTCGCTASGGACCCAAGAATATATTTCTATAYGTCTGAACCCGCATTTAGGACCACCRATAACGATGATATGCTCCCCACATCCTCTAAATGCAATACCCCAGCCATCCACATTTTCTGCGCTCTCAGGCAATCTTTCTATAGTCTCCCATTTTTTCTTCTTTTTGTCGTACTTTTTCACTACCATTCCAAAACAATCAGTAGCATATAGCTCGTTATTCACCACTGCAACGAGTGGTGGAGCCATTGATGGCCCAACACGGCTACATCCAAAACCTCCCCAAAAAAAGATATGATAACCCCCCCCCCCCCCCAAAAAAAAATAATTTCTTACCATTTTATTTCCCCTTGTCATCATGTTTGCTACTGTTTTTTTGGCAGTTTCTAACAACAAGAGCAGCAGCAGTACTAGCACTTACATCCCAACCTTTCATGGATCAAACATTTTCAATAGTTTATGATGATGGCATTGGGAAAATAGGTAACGTAAGATTAAAAAATAGGAAGAATTTTATGGTTGAAGTAGGAAGACCATTAAATTTATATTGGCTTATGTTAAAGTTTATGTTAATATATCTTTACTTTCTTTCTTGTTCCTTCTTCAATAGTTACTTTAAATTGCAGTCACAAGTCACAATTGCCGTTTAATATATCAAGAGTATATGTTTAACAATTTGGGAAATTGGACAGGAAATGGATCGCCTTAGTTTAAGAAGACGTTTACATAGGCAAAGGAGACGAGAGTCATTGGAATGGTTTAAGATAGTTGTCAATGTTGTTCTATTCAATGTTGTCTCCCTTTGGATGACTATGGTTAAAAGACAAACGGATGAACAACAAATTGGATACTATTCTTCAAATGTGGACCGATCCTCAATAATACATAGGTATATTTATGAGAGTGACACTATGTCCATCTCGCAAATTAGGATGACTCGAGCGTGTTTCAAAAAGTTGTGTGCCATGGTTGAAACATACGGAGGGTTAAGAACAACTAGGTTTATGAATATTGAAGAACAAGTTGCCATGTTTCTTCATATTATTGCCCACAATGTTAAGAATCGGGTTATGATATGTCGTTTTCACCGTTCGGGAGAAACAATTAGTAGAGTTGTTGCTCGAGTGTGCGATGCCGTAATAAGGTTACATCCACGATTGCTTAAGAAACCTGAACCTGTTCCCGATAACTCTACCGATCAAAGATGGAAATGGTTTAAGGTATTTCTACTTCTTCTTTAAAATTTACTTATTTCTAAGTAAGTCTAATTATTATGAAAATATAATGATCTTCATTTTCTTGGTTCTAGAATTGTCTAGGAGCTTTAGATGGAACCTACATAAAATGTATAGTTCCAGAAGAAGACAAACCTAGATATAGAACAAGAAAAAATGAAATTGCGACAAACGTGCTAGGGGTGTGCTCACAAGATATGCAATTTATATATGTCTTACCGGGATGGGAGGGGTCGGCTGCTGATGGTCGAGTGCTTTGAGATGCTCTTCTTAGGCCTCATGGATTAAAAGTTCCAAGACCGGGTATAGTTTACAATAGTTTACTATATACTAACAAGTTAAGTTTTGATGATTTATTAACTTAATTTATTACTAGGTTATTACTTGGTTGATGCCGGATACACAAATGGAGAGGGTTTCTTAGCTCCTTATAGGGGTCAAAGATATCATTTAAATGATTGGCGTGATGGACACCAACCAACCACCGCCAAAAAAAAATTCAATATGAAGCATTCATCGGCGAGAAATGTTATTGAACGATGTTTTCGGTATGTTGAAGGCAAGGTGGGCAATCTTACGAGATAACTCGTATTATCCTATTAAACAAAAAGTCAGGATCATCATGGCGTGTTGTCTCCTCCACAATTTTATAATGCAAGAAATGCCAGTAAATCTACTTGACAATGACGGTGAAGTGGATGAGGGAACCGGAGACCATGGAGTCGAAGATGGAGATAATATAAATGTTGTTGGTACTTTAAATGAGTGGACGGCATTTAGGGACAATTTAGCACAATCTATGTTTGATTCTTGGAATGCTACCAATTAATTTGTATGATTCAAATATTTGTTTAACTCATACTTGCCATGTTTGTYGAAATCTAATGTTTGTTTTGTAATAGCTATTCAATAGTTTGGACATGGATAATTAAACGTCGTTATACTTTTGATTCATTATGTTTGTAGGTATGACGAGTCAAAATAGAAATTATAGAGTTTGGACGAATATTGAAGAAACAAAACTCGTTGAAGCTTTACTTACTATGGTGAATACGGGAGCATTTAAAGCCGATAATGGCTTTAAATCGGGTTATTTAACATTTCTTGAACAATCGTTAAAAGAATCTTTGCCGGGCTCCGGGATTTTAGGGAAACCACACATCGAATCAAAGTTAAAAATAATGAAGAAAGATTGGACTATTGTGCATGACATGATTAATGGTTCTTATACTAGTGGCTTCGGATACGATAGTGTGAAGCATTGTGTCGTTGCGGAAGACCAAGTTTGGGAGTCGTATTTTCAGGTACATGCTCAAATGAACTTGGTATTTATATTTGCATTATATATAATCATAGTTATATGTATATTTAATAATTTCTATTATGAAATAGGTCCATAAAGGGGCGGGAAAATGGAAGAACAAACCATATCCTTTTTATGAGGATCTTTGTATTGTATTCGAAAAAAATCGTGCCACAGGAAATAGAGCAAGAGATTTTGTTGAGGCGGAACAGGAGGCGCGTACAGAAGATCAAACACAAAACCTGAATGACGAGTCCGATGACGTAATTGCAACTAGCAATGTTCAAGGTATGAATGCAAATATGCAATCTGAAGAAACTTCAACTGCGCCTCGTAAGAAGAGAAAACGTCAAGTAGATCCCATGGCTGACGGATTTAGTAATGCGGTTACTAAACTTGGAGAAACTTTGGAGAAAATGGTGAACAAACTTAGCAGGGGTGTAGAACGAGAAGACGGAATTGATAAGAAACGTTCGATGATCACTCCTGAGATATTAAAAATGCAGACGTTGGCCCAACGGGATAAGTATAAAGCAATTTCATTGATAAGAGACGATCCTAAAAAGGTGAACAAGTTTTGGGATTTCCATGAAGCGGACAGGGAAGGTTATGTCGATTGGGTTTTAAATGGATGAAAATTTTTGGTGGGTAAATATGTGGTTTTGAAAGAACAAGTTGGTAGTTAAATGTGGGTAANTTTTGGTGGGTAAATATGTGGTTTTGAAAGAACAAGTTGGTAGTTAAATGTATATATCAATGTTAATATCAAATATATATATGTATTTTGAAAATGTTTGTTGATTAAATATGTATTTTGAATGAAAATGTTTGTTGATTAAATATATATTTTGGATGAAAATGTTTGTTGATTAAATATGTATTATGGATGAAAATGTTTGATTGTTAAATATTTAGGTTTGTTGGTTAATTAGATAGATTTAAGAAAATGAAAGAGATTTGGTGATTAAAATAATTACAAAAAAAAAATCTAAATCTAAATCCTACAAACCAAACAGAAGAATGGATTTCACATGAAATCCAAATCCTGCAAACCAAACACATTAATGGATTTTAAATCCAATCCAATCCAAATCTCATGGAATCCAAATCCCTCCAGGAATCCAAATCTCTCAGAAACATTCTTGCAAACCAAACGCACCCTTAGACTTGTTACATCATGTTCCTTGAGTACCTTCTATATGGAATATGACAATATGCAGCTCAAGCTTTAAATCCTTTTTTAGCTGATCAACATTTTGACCTTGGTTACCAAACGGTATGAGCCTTTGGCCTCCTCAAACCCTGACCAAAGATGAAAAGGATGTGTAAGTTTATTTGTTACATTTGCCGCATATGGATATTATATAGTTCAAAAAAATCCTGACCTTGGTTGCACAAGCTATGGTTGGCTAAAAGAAACCGACCACCTGGATGAATTTGCAATATGATCAAATGAGTTTGATAATATATTGTGATGAAAAGATCGTAGAGTATATAGTATCAAATACGTATGTGCGTGTATCCCTTCCTCAAGCTTTCCGGACACTTTTATGTCTCATTTGATTTCTAACTTAAGATTTTCTTGTAGTGCTTTTAACTGTTGGGTGGTTCTTCTAATTGCTTAAAATGCCAAAAATCAATCTAGAAAAGTATGTGGCCAATTGGTTGTTTTGCATTCATATTCAGCTAAAGAAACAATTTGCTACCATGTGTTTTGACCTAACTAGATTAAATGTTACCCCTGTTGAAAAATTCTGATTATAAGATTAATACAATTAGGTTTTAAAAAAATATGTATTTAATATAGATAATGACTTTATTAAAAAGATTAGAACTTTATTACTAAAGATCGAACTTTATTTATACTATATTATAAAATATTTAACAAAAACTACTTTTTATACCTAAAGTATTGCTTATTGATGCATATTACTTAAAATTCAAGATTACAAGTAAATAATGCATAAATACAACTTATTAAAGTTTCATGCTTGAATTTGTGTAACTAACTGCAGATAAACATAATCAAATATTGGATAAACATTTCATTTTAAATATAAAAAATCTAAAATATAATAGGGTAATCACTGTGATCTAACAAAATACTTAATTATTATCTTTATAAGTAATTATATTATTAAATCAAAAATAAATTGATTCGTTATTAAACATAAATTAAATTATAATAAAAATTTGAATTAAAAAAATTACACAACAAAACAAGAACTTTTAAATTGTTAATTTGATACTAATATCGATAAAAAAATTAAGATATATTCAAATTTATATTTTAATCAAAAATAAAAACATTATTTTGTTTCTCAAAACCACGTATAACCGTATTATAACATCGGCAGGGAACAAAATAAAACGAAACATTAAAATCGAGATGTATATCGTCTGCTGCATTATGCAAGTACCCTTCTAGTCTATAATAAAGTCTTATATTAGATGTAAGCCAAAATAGGGATAAAAACCACACCAATCGATTCTATCATCCGCGATAGATTCGATATAAGAAATTAGGGGTAAAAGTTTGTGAATGAAATTAAATGCGTTGTTGAATATTAAAACCAACCTGGAAATTGCAAGTGAAACTAAATGAAATTGGACAGATAAAAATAAGGCAATTCTATTCATACCCGCTCCGATTAAAACCTACTAAAATTTTCAAACCCCCTACACTTAAAAAAAATTAGAACTAAATACAATGCATTTATATTTTCATTTTTAACCCTTTACATAATCTATTTTTAGTCCTTATAATTTTATTAAAATTATTATTTTTAACCTTTTTCGTATTTCTCTATTACATCATTTGCTTTTATATTTTATATCTTATACCCTAACCTTATTAATTGATTAGTAATCTATAATATTAAAAACGTATTTTTAATACTACAAACTTAATTATGTCTTTAAGTTTAAAAAAAATTAAATATTACCTTTATGATTATTATTTCATTAAAATTGTATTAGTTTAATTATATTTTTAAGGTTAAAACAAATAAAAATAACATATGATTATTATGTGATTATTCATTATTTTATGTAAATAAAAGACGTTATTACAGATAAAATAACATATTATCTATCATTAATTTAAATCAATATATTCACGAATACTATTACAATCTAAATATTCTTTGAACACGTTTAATCAATATTGATACGGGGTCTATCCGTATAGTTGCTTTGGGAGATCTCCAATGCAACAACACCCTTTTGAAAGATTTAGTGGATCGAAAATCAAATATAACAATCCGTAAAATGTTTTGATAATTTTGAAAATTTATTAATTAGTTAAGATGAGGAGGAGGGGTATGAATGAGTAGGACGGGGTATGTTTAGCAACCCCTTTTTCCTCTTTGAAATTATTCGTGATTTTACAATCTATAAATCGAATTAAATCTCATTTGCCAAAATCTAATATTTGAACACGAAAATCCATATTTTTCATTGGTCATTTGAAATGTAATCAAAAGCAAAAAAAAAATCCCAACAAACCACTATAAGACGGTGATAATTAAGGGTATATTGGTTCATATGTGAATCTAACATAATTCACATTTGAACCCTAATAGAGATTCACGATCATACCATGTACGTGAATCAATATAAAACTTATAAACAAAATTCTTAACTGGTTTAGGATTCACATGTAAACCAATATACACTAGTTCAAGCCACCAAATCATCAATCTACTCAATTTTCAAACAATTACCCACTTTTTTAAATAAAAATTAGATCACCCATTTTCTTTTAAATTAATTTATATAAAATATAATAAATATTTTTGTTTAAAAAAGATCAACAAAAGCGAGAATTTCATTATCTTTAATTAAAGATCCATAATGATGTACATATTTTTTAAGATTCATATATAAATTTAAACTGGTTTATAATATTGGCTATAAGTTACAAATAGATTCTTGCATAAATTACGATTAAGATTCACATATGAACATTAGTCTCATCCAACACAAAAAATATTGAGGATGAGATGATCCTTTTCAACCACTAGTTTAAAATTTTGATTTCCAATATTATTATTTTTCACTAATTAAGATAACTATAGAAAAAAATAAAATATTCTAATTTATCTTTTATTTTTTTATATAAAATCTTTTGGATATTTATAATCATGGATTTTTATCCAAATTTCTCTTTGAAATCACTGGCAATTTTACAATATATAAAATCGAATTAAATATCATTTGCCTAAATCTAATATGTGAACACGAACATCGATGTTCTTCATTGATTCTTTGAAATGTAATTGAACATAAAAAATCCCGACAAATCATTATCCAACAATGATAATTAGATGTATATGGTTCATATGTGAATATATGGAACCTATCATAGATTCACATGAGAATCCTAATATATATTGCACTCCTATACATTGCTAAATGCATGCTTACCTAGTATTTTCCTCCTCACATATATCAACATCAAAACTCACTTTTTACCTTCTCAATACATGAATTGACCCGATTTTAACATAAAAGGGTGTAACACTTGAATATCATATTTGCATATAAACATATATTTTCATATATCAAGAAATATAATTTACACATTCGGTCTCAGATATACAAAATCTATATTATAAAATAGCTAATAACTTCTTCCCCAAAATCTCTACACAATGCATGAATACATAACAAATATTCAGCTACAAAAAAAAAGATGTTATCCCAATAATCCCAATTCCCATGCAAGCATAATAATAGCATTTCACAATTTCCCTTTCCCCTTGACCTCGGATTTTGTCCGACCTGTGATGCACATTTTTAAAACACAAAATTAGGGTTAGACTTTGAGATCTAATGAGAAATTCCCTTTGATGCAATCACAGGGTAAATAATCACCAAATCCATTTATGAAATCATATTTGTATAGTATTCATCATTTTGATATAATGAATCTCATTTATCACATCCAAATACCCAATAGCTTGATAAACACATTATAAGTAAAACTCGTCGCATCATATAGAAAATTGTAAAATTTCTCGCATTACATGATGAGACAACTCCATCTCCTTGCAACACGCTGGTGCGAGAATATCAACTCATCGCATCACACAGGTGAGATAAGTCCATTTTGTCGCATTACAAATGTGTGATAAACTCACCCATCGCATCACATCGATGCGATAACTACACTTCATCACATCATACAGGCACGATAACTCTAAGTTATCGCATCTCACATATATGATAATTCAAGGTTATTCATCATAAAGATACGATAAGATTGAACACTTGACCAAAACCCAAATTTTATAACTCATTGACTATGTCACCCTTATCCTGGATACACCTCTCCTTGATATGTCACTTTTATCCTGGTATACACCTCTTCTTGATATGCTACTTTTATCCTACTATACACATCTCCTTGATATACCACCCTTATAACCAAAATACACCTCTGCTTGGTATGTCACCCTTGTTCCTACACATGATATAAATATATCAAAATCCCACAATTTTGCCAATTATGGCATCAAAACAGTTTTATAACAACATTTCATATAAAGAACCATATGATTCTATACCCAGTTTCCAAATAAGGAACGTTGATAAAATTAAACTTACATTATGAACACGTGGATGAAGATATGAAGATGTATAACAGCAATCCGTTAACAAGTTTTAATCACAGACTTATTCTTCCTTTTTCTTCGGTTTTGTTCTCTCTCGGTTCAAAAACACACAGGAGCTTTTCTCACCAACTTTTTTTTTCTGTTTCACAATCCCCGTGAGATAACCCAACACCATAATAAGCTTTAAAAGTAAGAGGCATTGAGTGTTTTAAAAGTTTTTTAAGCACATAAACAACTTTAACTTCTCAACTTACCAACATTTTTTTCAAAAACAACCACGAGCTTTATAACCGAATAACCCAGTTATCACAAGGGGGTGCAAATAGCAATCCTGTTTGTTTCTCATCAGTTTTCTCGAAGCTTCTTGTTCATATCTCTCATAAAAAACGCTATTTGATAATGTATGCCTAGCAACCCCGCCCCCTCTCGCTAACCCGGGTGAAGATTCAAATATTTGTCCTACATTCATTCGTGAAGGTACTCCTAATGGGTTGAAGACCATATGAACATTATATGTATATGGGTCGGGGTTGGGGTTGGGTTCTCGTGAAAATGAAATTTTTAGTGAGATCGAGGGAACAAAACCTTCATCGACGTGTATCAACTTGCACTTTGCAAATCTTCATACATTTACTTATTTCTACCACCATGACTTAAACTTTAACAAGTTCATGCATGTGAACGTGATTAAAGATAGATAAAAGTTCATGAGTGACTAGAAGTGAAGATAAAAGTGGAGATGAAGGTAGACGAAGATCCATGTTTTTTTTGTAAGGTATCAATTGAAGGTAGTTAAAGTTCTACATTTTTTAGCCGTTAGATCAAAAAATCAATTCATTTAACGGCTCAAAAGTGTTCTCACTTTCTTACAAGAAGGGGTTGCTCTCATATGATCCCAAATCTATATAGTGGGAGGTTCAAATAAGAAGGTCAAGTACCATGAGAAGATAATAATGGAAGGTTCATATTTGAGTTATTGAAAAAACACACTTAAAGAAGCATATGTGAACCCATATGAATAATCTGTAGCAATCGTTCACGTATGCATCTTGAAATAAATTTTTTCAATGATTCACATATAAACCTTCTATTAACATTCTATTTTTAGTTTCTTACGATATTTGGACTTTTTATTTGAACCGACCCCTATATATTGTCGATCAAGCCGCTCCCCCTCATTCTGCTCTTCCAGTCGTCTAAAGGCGAAGACTCTGAAGTGAGCAAACACTCAGCCTAGCAACATCTCGACCAACCAACCCCGACGTGTCAGCTTAGTTATCCTCATCAAGCCACTTACTTAATGTCTAGGAACCACAAAAAGGTTGAAAACCGTGAAACTTGTTGTTTCACATCTTAAAACAATGCATGTGAAAGATAAGGTAGTGCTTTACAATGTGATTATTTCTAGTGTCTATGTTTTGTATTTTTTTTTTCACATTGTGATAGGACATTACACATTCAAATACATGAATAATGGTTCTCACGGTTCTCAACATTTGTGTTGTTATCATTTAATTATTCCCTAATATAACTTGAAATCATGTGAGACCACTCAGTTCTCATGAGACCACATTTGAATATTTGGTCCATTGGATGAGTTGATGTCGTCAAACTTTTGCATCAAAATTATGGACCTTTACAACAAAACACACTGAACCTTCACAACAAACACATTGAACCTTCACAATAAAACACTGAACCTCCACAACAAAACACTGAACCTTCATAGAATGAACCCTTATATAAAAAGAATCGAACATTCACATGAAGAAAAAATTGAACCTTCATATTCAATTAAGCACATACGAAACCTTTAGGGTGGTCTTACGGGTCTCACAAAAATTGAGAGGTCTAATGGGATCCAACCCTATATAGTTGGGATCACGTGAGAATTTTTTTTGTTGAGAACACTTTTGAGCCTTCAGGTATGTTGGGTTTTTATCTGACGTCTCAAAATAAGATGGACCTTTTCATCTACCTCTATTTGGTGTCTCACAAAAACCGTACTGTCATCACATTGATTTAACTTCATCCAACTTAGTCGCCACTTTTAGTCACTTCAACAGACTTTCACATACTTTTAATTACCTTCACATGCATAAATTTATTTAAGTTTTAGTCATTGTGGCACAAATAGGAAAATGTTGTTGAAGAATGGGAAACAGAGTTAATTAACTCGGGGAAATGGTACAACATAAGTCAAAGTTTATACAGTTCAGAAATCTTACATGGTTGCTAGAACCCAACCGAGTAATATCAATAACACATGAAAAACCATAGCGAAGGTTGGTTTGAAAAAACCATATCATGCCCTAAAACAACCGTAGAAAATCTTATGTGATTGATAATAACAACCAAGTAAGATCTTGTTTGGAACTGTGTATAGGAAAGGATGAAAGGATCGGATAAACTCAACAATCGTGTAGGAAATCACTTTTCAAATACAACAATTCGACCCTATTAGCCTTGGGTTCACGAATTTCATATTGGGATTCAGCGATAGCTGACACTACCAGATTCAACGATAACTTCAACGATAGCTGACACAACCAGAGTTATCTCTGTTTCAAAGTTACCGCCAAGGGGCTCAACCCCTTAGAACCCTGCCAGGGGCGTTGCCCCTAGGACCCTGCTTTATGACTATCTAAGGTGATAGAGACAACATTTGTAACTGTGCACTCCACACCTCTTAACTCACATATGTATGCCTCATTGCCTTAATCGATCTCAAGTAAATCACAATTACAAAATGTTTGATGACACTAAAATCACCAACAGATCTTAAGCACCAAATAAATGAATAACCCTAGCAAATTTTACTTGTTGGTTGCTGAATAGCAACTGAGTAAGATGATAACCGTCGAACAACCTACCTAATTAAATATTTACAATCGTGTAAGATTAGTTGCCCTCAACATGCCATATGTTTGTTTAACCGGTTTTTGTGAGAAATGTCTTATTTCCAGGTAAAATACGATGAATTAATGACCGTTTTATAGTAGTATTCTTATAGTCTAGAGATCAAGAGAATCCAATTGTTGTGTGAAGAAAATATGGCCATACACTTTCGTATTTGTGCCGAAGACAATTTTTTCTTCTCATTTCACTTCTAAAACGAGCCTTTTATGACAATTATAAAAAATAAAATGATAAAAACATTAAAAAAAAAAAAAAGTAACAAAATGACCATTAGGGCTTATAACGTGAACAATCCTTAAAATGACATTGCACCAATTCCTTAATTTGAAAAATAACCGGTTCGTGTGGACATGTTCTAGACCAATACTAAATCAGAGTTGGACTCCATCCTAAATGGCTTGGAGCTCGGCCTTAAACTAGAGGTAGGTCCCAACTCATCCTAAACTAATCTTAGACCTAATTGCATCAGGACTGATCCAGGATTGATGGTCCTAATCAGGCCTATCACGCTCGTCCATTTAGAATTGGTCTCAAGTTCGGTTTAATGTGCAAAATCTTACCTAGAGTCGGCTATAATGAGTCGAGTCAAGGAGTGATCATCATGGGCATAGGCCTGGGCCTGCAAGTACATTTGGATGGGTCTCACCCACCATCCATATGTATGCAAGACACATTTAACATGCTCTTTTTACTCTCATGCTTGTTCATCATGCTTGAACACCACCCACCAAAAATACTTGTGAACAAGCTAATTCAACTGCCTCCTAATCAAATGTCAGATGGGCTTCTTACCATAATACAAAGAGTTATTAACTTTTATACATAGCTGAATCAATATAAGCAAACCAAACCAAACGAATCTGGTATATCCCACTCAGAAGCAGAGACGGGGTGGGGTGAGATATATGCAGACTTGTCCTTTACCCCCACAAGATAGAGCGGCCGTTTCCTTCTGTGAAGACTGTCAAATACAAGCAATCAAACTTTACATGATTACATCTAATCTAGTAAGCAATTGTCGGTAATATAATTCCTAGGCTTTCCTTTTGATACCGCTAATGTGTTCCAAGCTCCGCAAGACTTGTTCAATGGATGGCCTTTCTTCAGGTTCGGGTTGAGTACATTTTAGAATAAGTGCAGCACACTGGAAGGTAGCTTCTGGCAGGTAGTCATGACCAAGGTTCGGGTCTATTATAGTCTTGAGCTTTCTTTTGCTGAGTAGCATTGGCCTTGCCCATTCCACCAGATTCTGCTCCTTTTGGAGGCGTGTATGGTCAATAACCCTTAGGCCTGTAAGAATTTCCAGTAACACCACTCCAAATGCATATATGTCATTCTTACCATTCAAATGACCTGTAAAAGCCACATGTTACAAGTGAAAATGTCGATTATCCTTGAACAATTTGACAAGAACACTTTCAAGATTCACTAAAACAGCATTTTAGTTTTATTTGATGGTTAAATTTTACAGGATGAACTTGGTTTTGAGGTTCACTTAGTCTGTCCTTTCGCTTGCTACTAAAATTAGGATATTAGAGGCTGCTTTTACATGTTTTATTGGTTCTAAATTAAGACTCTGATAATTGTTTGGCTACCTTATATGGGACCAGTTTTTTCTCAGTAAGCACCGTACGTTGCATATATTCAATATATGTTCACCAACTGGAAGAGCGTTCAGCGCTGGCGCTGGCCACGTGCAACCCGTGCGGCCGCACAGGGCATCAAATCCTAAAGGGGCATCAAGTTTTCATCTATTACTAGTTTTGAGTTTAATAATTGGGGAATTGGACAATTCAGTTTTAACTATAAAAACCGGCCCAAGGCCTAGTAGTGATGTATACTGAATGCACATCGTGAATCGGTTAACCCCATCATTCCAACAACTCAATCTAATTTCTATTGTTCTTCAAAGTTCAACTATTTTGATTTTCAAGGCATTGAGTTCCTTTTCCGGCCAATTAACGGTCATGAAATTAGATTCAAGAAATCAAAGATGAAAATCTCGAATGACTGATTTTTGCTGTTGATTGAACTTACCGAGTTGCTGTGTGAGTCATTTATGATTTTATGAATCTTTAAATCTTTTCCAAAAAAAATCTAAATATCGATCTAAATGATTATCATATAGGTGTGTCATGTGTGGTCGTGTGGGTTACTGACCTACTAGGCTAAGGTTAAAGGGCTTTTGTCATTTTGGTAATGAGTCTTCTTCTTGCATGTTGAAATATCTAAGAATTGGAATTTGCAATGCACACAAGCACATCACTGTATCAAAATAGCTAAAGCACGTTGCACAACATTAACAACATATTGTGATATTGTGTTAATTATTAGGCACTTGTTCTTTGCAATTCACAATAACATAGGTTATGAATTTTACAATTTATCATTGTTCTTTTGACTTTTGTTTACTTTGAGGTTTGACATTACCGTGCGCATTAGATTTAGGGGTCGTTTGATTGGTTTTTTATTAAGTTCTATATTGATAAAGTTGTCTGTATGGATTAATCTGTTTGTATATGTTGGAAAATTTCTTGTTTGAGAGAGTTTTTTCATAGATGTAAGGAGCGTTTTTTAGTTGGGAGGGACATGTTTAGAAAAGAAAACTTGGTTTTCTATATAAAGCTTCCCCTAGAAGCTTACTGGATAAGTTACTTTCGATATCATTAAGTCACTACGAAACAATCATGCATAGTTTAGCAAATAAGTTGTTAGTCCCATTAAGCTTATTAAGCTGCTAACAAATAGGCTCTTAGACTTTAGCCATTAGATCTGTAACTTTTTGAGTTTTACTTTTTGCTTACTATGATAGTAACTTGGATGTAATTTATTATTTTAGTTAAAAACTAATTATAGTTTTCTTTGTCTTTTAAGTTTCATATATTGAAATACAGTTTCTATTTTGCTAATTTCAATTTGGAAAAGGGAAAACTGGAAAAGAAGAAAACACAATCTTAATCCGGGATTTATCCTTTTATCATTCTATATTTTGTATTCGGGGTTTTACTTTTTATGTTCCCCACCCCCCTTGTATTTTTTTTATGATTAATAAAAATCAATATGGAGATGAGACACCTAGTTTGACTGGGTTCCAAACTCTTTAAAAATTCGTATGTTTCGTTGTTTCATAGGCTTAAGAAAATAGGCTTAGGGGAATTTTTTATTATTTTCGCACGGGGCATAAAAAATCTTAGGACCGGCCCTGGGAGTGTTACTGGTATTCTGTTAGCTTGGTTGGATTCATGTTTCTCTTATGTTTTCTACTATATAAGGCAGGCAAATATGCAGATGGATAGAAGGTAACATTGTACATAAAAGCCATCCAAGCCTTCTTATGGTTCGTTGAATAAGTTTTAACAACAAACCGAAGTTCCAAGTTTGTTTAACAAGTTGTCTGTCACTCTTCTTTGCACTTTTGATATTTTCAATTACCTTTACTATTTCAGCACCTATTTGTTTCCTGCTTCTTTGGATTGGATTGAGGATGAGGTGCATGGTTTTATTTGTCAAACTTAAAACTAATAGGGTAAATAATTTGAAATATAGGATCAAAACAATAATTTGAGGACGTGAAAACACTATCCTTAATGAATTATTAGTCCTCACTATGATCGGTGATGGTTTTGGACTAAATTATTCCTAGGAATAACATCAGGTTAGAGTTTATGCAACAACGACAAAACTTTGCAAGAAATCTTGAAATTCTTGAGTTTTTAAGAGAATATGAAGCAAAGTGAATGTCTTTGTAACCAAATATCAAGACATATATGTGTGTGTGTGTGCGTCCAACCTATTTTGGCGCCAAATTATCTGCCAAAACTGTATTTCCCACCAAGCCAATCGCCCTAAACTGTTACCGGCAAACAGTTGCAATAGATTGTGCCCTTGCAGGAAACACGATCATGTCCAACATTTTCCACTAAACAGAAAGTTTATCAAAGTCAAGATTTATATATATATATATATATATATATATATAAATCTTCTCAAATTTCCCTCCAGAACATGTTCAAATAAATAAGAACAATTGCACATGCTTGTCCACTTATGTGGGACAACTCTCAAACCCGAAATTCTTAATAAGAGATCACACTTCAACATCACTTGACCATGTAGACGGGTAATAAGAGGAGACTAGTGTATTCACAAAGTAACTGACCTGTTGCCACGTACTCTGGAGCTGCATAGCCATATGTGCCCATTACCATTGTAGAAAGATGTGTATCACCATTTACAGGACCATGTTTTGCCAACCCAAAATCAGCGATTTTTGCATTGAAATCCTGCAAAATAAAACAGAACAGGGATGTGCAAGGACCAATCTTGTTCAAGTGACAATCATAAGAAACCATAAATATGTAAAGTCAGCAGCATGTTTCACCTGATCGAGCAATATGTTAGAACTCTTCAAATCTCGGAATATGATTTGGTTCTCTGTTGTGTGCAGAAAGGCAATGCCTCGAGCTACTCCTATCAAGATTTTGAGCTGCAATGACCATGAAAGTGGAGGTCCCAATCCTCCTGCATTTGTGAACTTTTCAAGTGTGTCCAATTTATACAGTTTTGATCAACAGTGCCAAGTATCCTTACTTTTAAATATGTAATTTTCTAGGCTCCCCTTCTCCATAAACTCATAGACGAGAAGTAGCTCCTTATCTTCTGAGCAGTACCCCAATAACCTTACCAGATTTGGATGACTCAACCTGCCTAAAAAGTGCACCTCTGCCTGCATCCATGAAACCATTTTATAATTATATCCAGGTGGATCGCACGCAGAACTTAACAAGTACAATTGGTGATGCAATGACAGATATGCAAAGTATTGTTTGAAGAACAATCCGAAGAAACTACTCTTATTACAAATCCTGTCCGAAAATGGAGCACATAGGTAATAGGTTACCTGCCATTCTTCCAATCCTTGATAACCATCTGTATTGAGCTTTTTAACAGCAATAGGCATCCCAGAACCAGCCTCTGAAGAAACGTAAGATTCTTCATCAACCCAACCTTTGAAAACTTTTCCGAAGGCTCCCTCACCCACCACCAGAGCGTGATTAAAGTTCCTAGTCGCAATTTTAAGTCCAGCTAAAGTGAATATTCTCAAAGCAGAATCTGCAACTTCCCATTTGAAATTAAATTCTTGGAAGGTATCTCTACTTTTGCTCGTGAACACTTGTTTGTTAGACAATATACTGGGAAGAAAAAGATTATGTCGTCTTTTCTTCTTTTCCGGTGGCTCTACATCACCCAGGCCTGAAAATAAGATCAAAGAAAAAAATGTATGCAAGTCCTAATATATAGTGTAAAAATTGCCGGTAATCAACCTTTTGCTCAAATATTGTAAAATACCATTTGAAAATGAATAGTGCTCGTTAAAACACAAGCCACAAACACACATACCCAATAACATATGGGTGTTTCATGTCATAGAGGCAAAACACTATTCATAATAAAATTCTTGGTGCATGCTTGTTGATTCATATGACAAGAAAAGGATGAAAAACTTGAGGTTACCAGGTTTAACATGAGTTTTGACTGGCATCATATGTCGCAGCATTCTTGAGAATGTTATCTTCCCAGACTTCATGTAGGAATTTGTTTGTCCTTGATTGCCATAAGGACTACAAATTTCTATTTGTTGCAGTGCCAATGCAGCCTCAAGTCCAACTACTACCTCAGCCATAGTTGGACGATTTTTGGGATGAGTCTGTAAGCATTTGTCAGCGATTTCTACAAATGCTTTTAAGCAATCAGGCATGATTTGGCTCTTCACCCTCAAACATTTAGTGGTCAGTCCCATCAGGTTTGGATCAATAACATGGTTCAACATACCTTCTCTAATACAACGTTGGGCCCAACCAACTAGACCAAGGTCATTGTCTCCAAGACTTGGATCAACAGCAGGCCTCCCACACAACACTTCCAATAATACAACCCCAAATGAGTATACATCAGATTTCCTTGTTAATCTGCGAGTCATGAAATAGTTAGGATCAAAATACCCGAATGAACCTTTGACTTCTGTACTCACATGGGTACACAGCTGATCTGCTGGACCAATTTTGGACACCCCTAGATCAGATACCTTAGCTGCCATATGCTCATCGAGGAGTATATTTGAGCTTTTAACATCCCTATGAATGATGCGCTGCTGGACTCCTGTGCCAGTGTGAAGATAGTCTAATGCACGTGCTGCCCCGACACATATCTTGAGGCGCTCCACCCAAGACACAGGTGACTTGTTGGTTGATCGATCAACCTTATGCAGCCGTTCCCCAAGGTTTCCACCAGAGACATACTCGTATACAACCATCATCTCATCAAACTCATCACAGTATCCAATAAGAGAAACAAGGTGGCTATGTCGAAACTTGGAAAGCATCTTGATCTCTGTCCAGAATTCAGAGGCTCCTTGCGTGGATCTAGAGTCCAATCGTTTTATTGCAACCCTTGTTGCACCATGGTCAATGACGCCTCTATATACCTTACCAAATCCTCCTTTCCCTATGATCAATGCTTGATCAAAATTGTTTGTTGCCAATCGCATCTCAGCAAGCAGAAACTGGCGGCATTGATGTTCTAGTGACAAAGAGACTGGCTTCTTATCTTTCCCTAGGCTTATTTCATGAAATTGCCTTAACTTATAAACCATGATATTGAGCAGAGTGATGAGAAGCATCACCCAAGTGACAGCTGCTTGCCCATGTCCAAAAAATGATATTAGTTTCAATAGCTTCGAAGTCCAAGAAACAGAGGTATCTAGTGGAGATGTAATCCGTCCAAGATTGTTAGCAGAGCAACAGCAATCATGATTAAGGTTGCTGATCGACCTGTAACCAGTATCTGGAAAACTAACAGTGGATTCACATGGTAAACTATGCAAGAACATCAGCACACACATCAAGAAACACCCTTTACCAAAATCCATTATGCTGGATATTATTGATGACTGCAGATGAACAATTCTGCAATTAATATAACTTAATAGTCAGGTCAACTATCTGTAGGAGTCGAGCCTAAATTCTTCTTCTCAAAAACGAAATGGGTAAATATTTCTTTCCCAAATCATAGAGGGTAAATCAATATGAATACGTCTACTAAAAGATCTAAAAGTCAATATTTTGTGCAAGAATTGCTTGGCCAAATCTTTCCAAACATATCGACAAAAGCGTTATCAATGTTCAGGGGAATTATTGGCTGAGGAATTTCGTCGAATAGTTTGCAGACACATGTGTCAAACATTGACATTATAATATGATGATGGATAAGTACCTGGAAGGAAGTTGGCAAAGCATAGATAACAGTAAGACCGACCTGTTAATTAACTATCATATTATCTTTTCTTTAATGGTAGCACTCCATCGCAGAAAGCAACAACCATCGTTTTTGAACAAGTCCTTTAGAGGAAAATGGATTAAAATATCCAATCTCCTTGAAGCATACAATTTGCCTGTATGGGCATAATAATCTTTTACTTAATTAGTTTTTTATAAAAATAAAAAATAGAGAAAAAGATAAACAAGCTTTTAACTTTTAGAAGCTGTCATGTTATACATGGTGGTTTCTTTTTTAATATATATATATATATATATATATATAAAGATTATTATAAACCACAAGGATAGTGCATGATTGGTTTGAGTTTAGTTCCAAAGGTCAAAAGTATCAGGAGGTCTCAGGTTCAAATCCAAGGAGGAATAAAAATCCCCTTGTGGCCACGAAGGTTCAAATGCGGTGACTTCGGGCTATGTGCAAAGCAGGTGGTTACCCTGGGATTAGTCGGCTCGCATAGCGGGTTGGATATCCAGGTTAATCAAAAAAAAGATTATTATACTATATGATGTCATTAATTATCGTTTGTAACCGAAGAGGGATAACATTCATCGGGTTTAAAGGGTTAGTTTGGATCAACATATGATTATAAAAATTAATGACTCCATCTTTCAAATTTAAACACATTACAATATACCACTATTCAAACCTAAATAAGGAGCCATTTTCTAAACGCTTACATGGTAAGTGTTTGTTGGGTCACTTTACCTTATTGTATGAAAATGACGAGAACCGGGAATTTTACCGGTAAAATCAATGACAAGGACTGAGAGTCTTGCCCAGTAAGTGAGAGTGACGACTCTTACTGGTAAACGTTTATCGGATAAAAATATTGCATTTGATGTCGTTTTAATAGATTAAAATCTTATTTGGTAAGTTAAGTGAAAGTGTTGAATCTTACCGGTAAACACGTACCAGATAAAAGTTGGATAAACAACTCCTATATATATATATATATATGAGGCGGTCAAATAAAAACAACTCAATTTGTAAAAACCTCATTTCACCAAACATAATTTTTCATTTTGTTCATTTTTTTGTAATTATAAGAGGTTGATTAATCATTTTTATTGTAGAGGATGTTAATCATGGATATTATCATATTCATTATTTTAATTTTAGAGAAATACATGAAACAGTTTCATTAAAATTTCATTAAGTAGTATATGAAACAATTTCATAACC